GCCACGAAATCTGCAGTTCCAGTGCACAAAGTGCCGCTCCTGCCACGAAATCTGCTACTGGAGGTGCTCAAAGTGCTGCGCCCGCCACGAAATCTGCACATCCAGATTCACATCGCGCAGCGCTGCCAAGGCGGTTTGCAGTGGCAGGCGCAGCTCTTTGTGTGAGATATTTTGTTTTTGATACAAACTAATTTTCTTTTTGATAGGATATAGAAATTTTCTTTTTGATATATACTAATTTTCTTTTTGATAGCCCGACCCCGACAACCTCCACTGCTTGAATAGCCTCGGATCTGTGCCAGTTTGCAAGAAGACTGCAGCAAGAAGCCGCCTGATACTTCCACATCCAGCAGTGACACTGGAAGTTCGAGCTCTGAATCAGGCGCCAGAGGCGATGAAGAACAAGCCTGCGACGCAAAGGATAAAGGGGGCTAATTCATGGGAGAGTGGGTGTCCATGATCCGGAAGTTTCGAAATGTTTTTCGGTGTGGCGTCCCAAGAACACACATGGCAACAGCGTTTGCTGAAGAAGACATTGCCCGCATCAGTGTCTGTGGGCCCAGCCCCACTCGCATGATTATGTATTCAGCCCACAATGTGTCCAGCAGTCACTGCGGCCAGCTTTGAAAGCCCAAGCGACAGCATGCCAAGAGGCCTGACTTGCAGGCCAGCCTCAGAAAAGTGATGTCCATGCGCGGGCATGTGAGTAGTGTGCGACACCTGACTGCGCGCCTTCCTATCCTGCTCCTGCCTCTCCGTTTTTCAGCTGAGTCTTGAGGTTGGCAGGGGCGAGGATGCCTCCTATAAAGTCCTGCGGAGCTACCAGCGTGGGGCGTGCAAGGGTGGCTTGCCCTTTTTTGGCGCTGTGTGATCTTCCGGCTCTTTGCAGTGACCGGCGACCGCTCCAAGACCTGAGCCAAGCTTTGCCCAGATGTTTTGCAGCCTGCTTCGAAAAGGAACATGCCAGCTCAGAAAAGCTCTTCGCAGCATGCGCCCATACCTCCCTGATCAGTGCTTTGGCTAGTGGGTTGCACGCAACTTGCAGTGCCCCCAGCTTTCCATGACTATCTGGCAGTGTAGCCCCCACACTGCTTGCGCAAAGGCGGTTTTACGCTTGCCAAGCTTGACCCCGGCATGTTCAAGGTCGAGTATTGGAGCCTTGGCTGCCTTAGCTCATTGGCGTTGTGGATTTGGCGTGCTTGGACGGACGGGGTTTGAGTTTGACAGGTTTGCTTTTTTCGTGAAGATTGCGCTCATTCACTTGCTTTTGAGCGTCAGGAATCCAAGCGCCAAAGAGAGGCGCCGGTTTGGGCTAGGTCCAGGTAACCTGAGACATCAGCATGGAAATGGATGTGGACGTGCTTGGCAGGTCTTTTCAGAGTGTTTCAACCTGTTGGCATCTTGGCTGCCAATTTGAGATTTGGTGTTGGCAGGTCGGCAGTGCGGTTGGATTGTCGCTTGGATTCCCTTTGATTTCAATTTTTGTTGATTTGCTCAACTAGCGCAGCGTAACCCAAACATCTTCTCCGTCAGTACAACGCAAAAACGCCGAACCATTTACAGCAGATTTCACACCTTCAAAAGCACCAGTGACCCACCAAGGAGAATCCAGCAGAACTAGAAAGTCGGGGGTGGGATGTTCTGTTTTTGCTGGTTTAAGTCTTTTGGCGGAATGTAAAAACAGATTGTTGTTGTCCTGGTTGTGGTTGTGGTTGTTGTTGTTGTGGTTGTGGTTGGTGTTGTTGTGGTTCTTGTCGTTGTTGTTGGTTGTTGGTTGTTTGCTGCTGCTGCTGGTGTTGTTGTTGTTGTTTGTTTGTTTGTTTGGTTGGTTGGTTGGTTGTTTGGTTGTTTGGTTGTTTGGTTGTTTGGTTGTTTGGTTGGTTGGTTGGTTGGGTTTGTTTGTTTGTTTGTTTGTTTGTTTTTTTTTTCGTTTTTTGTTTTGTTTTGTTTGTTTGGTTTGTTTTGTTTGATTGCTTGCTTGCTTGGTTGGTTGGTTTGGTTGGTTGGTTGGTTTGTTTGGTTTGTTTGTTTTGTTCGTTTCGTTTCGTTTCGTTTCGTTTGTTTGTTTTTTTTTGCTTTGTTTGTTTGGTTGTTTGGTCTGTTGGTTTGTTTGTTTTGTCCGTTTGTTTGTTCGTTGGTTTGTTTGTTTGTTTGTTTGTCTGTCTGTCTGTCTGTCTGTTTTTTGTTGTTTGTTGTTTTTGTTGGTTTTGTTTTTTGTTGTTGTTCTGGTTCTGGTTGTGGTTCAATGACCTTGCGCTATTGGTTAGTTGGTTGGTGAGCAGGTTTGTGGGGCGGGGCGGGGCCGGTTGTGCACGTGAAAGCTGGGTCGGCTGAGCGCGCAAGTAGAAACGTAAAGTAGCGCAACCAAAGCACGCACGGGCTCAGGGAGGGTGACCCTTTTTGTTTTTGGAATCGTCGCCCAAAAGGTTTACCGTCGGATTTTGGCATGTTTCAGGGGGAGATCCACCCTATTTCCTTTTTGCGTGTTTGTCGTTGGAGTTTAACGACATTTTGGAACTGGTGTGTTTTTTGTTGGTGTGATTTTCATTGCTTGCTTGTTTGCTTCATTGTAGCCAGGAGGTTGACAAATGTTTGATATCTATATTAATGACACGTCAATATATGTAGTATGTTAGATTTGGGTGTCTGAAAACCACCACGGGAACAAACACACCTTTCCCTTAAACGGTTCCCGCGGGATTCGAAAACACACTTCCAGGTGCCGCAAACATCTGTGGCCACCAGAAACGCCGATCCAGCCGCTCATTTAACACCCTAAACATCTCCAGGCATGCAGGAACCAAGAACCAAAGCACCAACCCGGAACCAGAAACACCAGGAACCCGGAAACCCTCATCAGAGCCAAAGGTCTTATAGATTATAGACTTTAAAACCTGTATATACAGCTGAACTTGGATCGGACTGAAAAATGAGCTGAACTCAAAAAACTGATTGAAACAAATCCATGCCGAGATCTATCACATCGTCTATGGCATTGCTTTGGTTGACCAACCCAAGCTGCTCCACCACTTCGTGGTCACCGGATGCTACGAGAAGGTCGCGCCCGAGATGTCGCCCGACCCAGAAGGTGGAAAGGGGAAAGCGGTGTCGTCCATGGGGCGCTTCAGTCTTGTGTTTTTGGAGCCTCCACCCTGAAGTCCAAGTCTTTGCGTTTCAACCAGCTCCGCTGTTTCTTCTTGGCCACGCGCATCCGACCGACCGAGGTCGGGCCAGCGCATGCCGCGGCCCGAAAGCTGCGTCATGCCCGTGGGTGGCTTTGCCGGTTGGGCGCCGGGCGCCATCCTGTGGGACATGCCCATCTACGCAGGAGTGGGTCTCGTTTGTTTGTTTGTTCCAGGAGTGACTAAAGGGATCCAAAGGGGGTCTATAGGTGCGGGGGATGCGGATGGGGGCGCACCCCCTTTGGTGTTTTGGCCGATTTTCGGCCGGGGTGTCCATGTGTTCTTTTTTCTCGGTGTGCCCGTTTTCGGTGTTGGGAGGGTGTTTTGGGGGTGGAGGTGGCGGGAGGTGGAGACGAACTGCGTTCGTGAACGAAGTGTGGGCGCCGGGCCTTGTGTCGTGCCTGAATAGATGACGGGTGGTTCCAATCTTGTACAAGTTGGGGTAACGAGAGGAGGTGTTTTTGGCTCTTCATCCCTTCGGAATCAGTGAATCTCCAGAACCCGCATCCCCTTTTTGCCATGGAACTTCTTCATGAAGCGGGTTCCTCCTTCGGGTTAAAAGATGTATGACCCATTATGACCCCAAAGAACGGAAAGGAATAAGTCAATGACCCTATAAAATGCATAGAAGACAAAGACCTACCAGATAATGTTTATTCTATGGAGATTACTATCATAAGATGTTAAGATACCATAAGTTACAATAGATTTCATATTCATGCATATCATCACATCCTTGTCATTTAATTAGAAGATAATAGCTTACAAGATTTATTAAAAGGAGGACATGAATTACAGCAGCCATGGATTTCTGGCAATGACTCACCAGATACGCGGCGCTTTGGCGTTCGCGGCGTCCGGATGCAGGTGTGCCAGTGGGCAAAGGCGTGGGGATCGTGGCTTTTCACGTGCAAGTGCACTACACCGACGGCGACGTCTATCCAGGTGGGACCGGATCGACTTGTGGAGGCAGTGCTGCAAGAGGCTGCAAGAGGCTCCAACGCATGGTTTTGGTGGATCGTTTTGATAGGGGACCCAAAAAGGAAACACATGAATGCCGTGCATGCCAACTGAAACATCCTTGGAAAGATTGAACAGCTACTTGCGATTCCATTTTGGATTTGAAGACTCTTCCCTGTGGCTGAAGCAACATCTCATACCCCCGTCCCATCGTCTTAACAGATTCCCCCAACAGCACCTTTAAAAAGGGTACATTCGAAGAGAGAGAGAGAGAGAGAGAGAGCGAGAGAGAAACAAAAATGATGGGAAGCATCATTCTTCAAAGCAATCCTTCTGTATCCCCAACATCCCTAGGTCTTCAGGATGACGGACGACTGTCCGTTCGCGAAAGAGGCAGACGCTCCGACCATGTCGTCTAGACCCGCGCTGCACAGGGACCATTTCGAAGGATGGCATCCGGATCTACTACACACCCACGCTTCGCAATCAAACGGTGGATAGCGTATCCACCATCGGCATTGGCACGCACCCGCGGATGTTGGTGCCTCCAAGCAAGGACCGGGAGGTTGAAGGGAGAGAAGGGAGCTATAGGTTCGGGATGGTTCAGGATGATTGGTGTGTATGGAGGAGTCACTTAGAGAGTATGGAAATTGAACGGAATTGAGGAGTACTTGAAGATCCTGGTAGTTTAAGATGTTCAGAGTCCAGAATGCATGATATACATGGTCAGATTCTTGTGGTGGTTGGAGCCTGCACGAATCTGCGTTCAATTTTACGAATTTCGACCGGACGTGGCCAGACCCGGACCGCTGGAGCATCAGGAGCATCAGGAGACGCCAGGTCTTTTTTGCTGGTGCCAAACCCCGAAGTCCTCGGATCACCTGGCCACGCCAGACGCCAGGGAGTGGCGGGTCGGACTCCGGCCGAACGGTGCGGCGCGGCCGAACGGTGCGGCCGAACGGGTCGGCCAGGACCGGTACTTCTTGACGCGCACGTGCACGGTGGTGGACCCCTGTCAGTCGGCGGATTGCCAGGGAAAGGTCTGGTCCAGACCGATTGCATCTCGCCCAAAGGATGGTAGACTCCGAATCTCAAGCGGCTGAAAGCAGGTTTCTTTGCGTCAACTGGTTGAATTCCAATGTTCGTGGTACATGGTGGTACAGGAAACTGTTTGGGTAAGTCTGATCGGAAAAGGATGGACACATCATGTGATGTGGCCCTGATGACTCCCACCTGATGCACCTAGTGGCCGAACTCCAACCACAGGGTGGTCTGGTGATTAGAGGCGGAGCAAAAAGGAAGTCCCGGGATCTTTGCAGGTGTTTGCTGGGTGTTTGGGTTCTCGTTTCTCCTCCTTTGGGCAGCTCTGGGTGATTTTCCCTTCAGTGTTCTCAACTCATCGTCGCAAGATTGCTTCCATTGAATCAGGTGCAACCTTTGGTGCGCCACTTGATGTTTCCAAGTTGTTCGATTCATCACGTTCTACGGGACAGCACTCGACTGAAAAAAGCGGTTTAAAGCATTTTAAAGCCAATATAGACTACCCTGAGCATACATATTAATGCGTCAACACTGCGCATTCGCTCGACTTTCATCACCCCAGTCAGTCGAATGTTTTTCGTTTCTTCTTTTTCCAGACCAAGGTCTCAGTCTTCTACCATGCGCATTTGTTGGGCGTGGCCATGTATCAGTCGCTGACGCGTGGGAACACCACGTGGGACCTGGGCTCTCAGTCACGCTGGTGTCGTGGCAGAGTCGCTGGTGTCGCTGGTGGGGGAGTTCTTCTGCCAGATTCCGTCCTATGATGGCCTATTGCATCCATCGATTCCTCTTTTACAAGCTCAATTCCAGACACACTTGGTGAATGACGATCATTTGTATACATGTGGAGATCTACTGAATCTACTGCTTCCGAAAGCCGTGAAGGACCAAGCTTGAAACACGAAACATCGACGTGAAACATCGACGAATACCGGGATCCATCCAGCGCACATGATCCATTCGGAGAATCCCCACATACAGAAGGAGTCCATCAAGAGATGACCATCTGGAGTTCTCCATTCGTCCCCTCAAAAACTCCGATGTCCATGTTCAACAGATGTGGTTCGATTCGTTTCCAGTTCATCCTTTTCCACCCGAAGCCGAACACCCCACGCCCCCCCGCCCACCCAAGAAAGGCCGTTTCCGATGCCCTTCGATTTGTTGCCCGGTTTTGATCTGGTCCGGCATGTTCGAACCACCATTTTTCATCAGTACGTCTTCCGACCGAAGATCTCGACGAGCCGCCGGAAGTTCAGGCATTATGATGATCAGGCGATGTTCCCTCTGATGCAGCTCGGCGGGCTCGGGAAGAGCAAAGAGTTGGCAGAGTTTGATTAGAGGGAGGGAGCTCGGTCGAAGCATTCAAAGGGTAAAATAAAAGGGCAGGCAAAGATGGGCAGCCGGGCAGCCCATGTGTTTTTGTTTGCAAAGAAGAGGACTTTTTGTTGCCGTTTCGGAGCTTGGTGGATCAATTCAATAGGATATAGAGGGAAGGATCACTCATCTGGATGCTTCTGTGCCATGTGGGCACCAAAAACAAGGTCTAATTCCAACTCCGGACGGTCAGTCTTCCCCCCAACCCGCGTGCGCGTCTCCGGCGCTCCACGTCTCGGTCGACCAACGACGACCCTTCGCACCGGCTCGACGCGTGGCGGCCACGGCTTCGACCGGAGCCCCACGAGGTCTCGGAACCTGACGGTGCAAGCGGGAGACGTGATCCAGAGCACGTGCATCTTTGACTCTCAAGGACGAACGGAGGCAGTAAGTGGAGAACGTTCATCACGGTGGGGTGGTGACTGTTTCTCTTCTCACTCGCCCGTGTCGGTGGGTAGATCATGGAAGATATAGGGTAGATTAGATGTTGATCTTCAAATTGGGCCCATGATAACACGACTTGATTCTATTTCACACTCATTCAGTATTACATGTATAAACTAGCGTTAAACACATTATACCATTGCGGCCGCTGGGGGCGTAGCACTTTTGTGACCGAAGACGAAGACGAATTCCGAAGATGAATTCCCTCAAGGGGACCATGCTACCCGAAGACGCGAAGACGAATTCCCCGAAGACAAATTCCCCTCAAAGACGAATTCTGAAGACGATTTCCCTGAAGATGAATCCCCGCGCAGAAAAATTCCGAAGACGAATTCCGCCCAGACTGCTGGCTCTTCTACGTTCGTCGCTGCGTCACGATCATATTGGCCATTCCATGGAATGGAAAAACTACAAGGTTCGGCCTGTATGCGCTCGAGCAAATCGCGAATCCTCGCTGCGGCCACAGGGAGCAAAAGGAGACTTCCTACACTGAGCTGGCTTAGTGTCCGCCGTGCACAGATGCAAATCCGGGGCTGCCTACTGGAACCCCAAGTAAAACTTGTCAAACAATGAAAAACATTTCTCAACACGCATGGCAGAGACATAAAATCTCATCTTCCTGCTCATCATTCGACATATTTGCAGAATGTTATCCAACTCATCCGAACTGGAGGTGGAAACTGTTCGGTACTGGCGGTGTGCGAGGTGCGAGCCCGGTACTCGGCCTGGTTTCACCGTGGTGTCTTGCCTGGCGGTGAAGTCCTGGAAATGCATGGTGGCCCGGGACCGGCCGCCGGCACCGCCGCCAATCTGGGTCATTTATATTCCATGGGTGCCCGATGTCTTGCTGCGGCGATGCGCGCTCGCGGAATTGTATACCTCTGGGCGCAGACCCAGCCGCTTCAATTCAACCGTTTGGACGGCCACATGTGGCACGGCCACCTTCGTCTGGAAGCCGAACATCGGCCAGATACCGTATAACGAAATTAAAGTTAAGAACCCTGCGGCTCCCGTCAGTCGGTACCAGGGTCCAGTCATACCATACCTCAACACCCACCACCGAAAAACCGTTGCCGGGCCACAGCGAGGCTGAAGCCGAACGATGGAGACAGGCCGGCTGTATGGAGACAGACCATGCAGAACTTAGCCCAGGAAATCCCAAGCTAGGAGCAATGGATGCGATAAAAGATCCGGTTCAAGGGAATCGTCCAACACTTCAACTAAGAGCTACACGGCTCCAGTGAAGGGCGTCAGGGGGAATGTCGCGTCAGGGAAAGTGGCGTCGCGGCATTGGTGAATGTGGCGTCGCAATGTGGCGTCAGCGTCGGGCACAAAAGTGCTACACCATGTGCGGGGGCCCTGTTCTTCTTAGAAAGATACTTCTTCACGGCTTGCAAGCAAACCGCCACATGCATCCGATCCATTCGGCGGTGTGACCGGCCGCTCTCTCCGCTCCGCCGCTGGAACACAGGCGACGCCCATGGGGCTCAACACCTGGGACGAGATGTGCTTCACTCAGGCAGAGAGCGTCCCGTCGAAGGTCCCGTCCGTCCCGGAGAGCGTTCGTCGCTGGGAAGAGAAAAACACAGAGGATGTATGTATAGTCATGCATATTTATTTTGTTGTATATTTACTTTTTAAAAAACCCTATCTCATGAGGTGTTCACACAGACGTGATTTTGTTTGTTAACCCTATCGGCTGATTGGCCCTTTGAGGCTCGCTTCCCACCGGGGCCCTTCCCTTCCCACCGCGCTTCTCCTTGTGACCGGGGCACCCCAAACAGGTCGGTCCGCCAGGTGAACATCGCCCGGCCCAGCGCGGATCCCATCGTGGGCTTCGGCTGCGGGGGCCCAATGTGGGAAGGCGGACGCTTTTCGCCCTCGCTTCGACGGCTCCGGAACGCAGACAGATCAGATCAGATGGGTTCGGCTTCGGCGGTTTTGTGGAGGACGGTTGGGTGGTGGTGGTTTTCTGGTGGGGGAGAGGGGAGAGAGAGAACTGCAGCGATGGGGGAGCGGGAAGCTTGGAGTGACAGGGGATGCACGTCTATGTGTGTTTGTTTTTGTTTTTTCTTGGCGCACCGAGTCGGTCGAGTTGGTTGGTGGTCCGTGATTTGAGGGTCCGAATGGGGGAGGGACCGTGTTGGAAAAGGAGTCTGGTGGTCAAATGCTCAGTTGGTGAAGGTGTTTCAGAGTCCCATGGAAGAAACACTTTTCAATGAAGTATAGGTCCACAGTGAATCTTCATGAAACTGAACAGATCTGAATAGTGTGAAAAGAGTATACGGACCACTGAAAAGAGGCGTGCACCCCTGCCATGCCATCCCATTCTTCCGTGAAGAAAGGCCCAGCCCGTTCACCCATTCTTCCACTGCCGTCCTGCACGCAGGTGACCTGCAGGTCACCGAGGATGCCTTCCATGTGGCCACCTTGCACCCCATCGACCAGGCGGAGAACGCGTGGCAGGCGACGAGTTATGGCCAGGCCACAAGGTTCCTGCCCAAGAACCAGCGCGAAGCTCGGTGGAAGCGGCCACCAAGGTGTCGAACCGGGTGCGTCCGAGTGGCAGGGGGTTCGTGAAGGGCCGGCCACGCTTCGGTGGGTGGGGCGGAAGCCTTCCGCGGTCGGACTTTCCTTTTGGCTTCGCTGTGGATGAATCCCCCCAGTCCTCCCAGAGTGACGACGCCTTCGATGAGTACTCTAGCGGTGAGTGGGGGCTCGGGCCGGGGAGTGGCGCTAGCGGTGAGGTCTGCACGTCCAACGAGACAGGAGGTGCTGTTCTTTGGATCCAGGGGGTCACCATTAGTATACATGTTGTAAAGAGATCTGGACAAATTCCGGACAAAAGGAATGTGTTTTCCGAGGTTTTCAAGCAACTTGGTCAAACTGAGGAGGTTTGTTTCAGCAAAAAGACGGTTCAACGATTCGAGACACCCAAGACTCACTTCTTTCGGTAAACCTTTTGATTCCAATACGCCGCGTCATCCGAAGATTTGTCAGAAGATGCAGCACAGGGCCCTTTGAGGGGGTGCAGGGGGCGCTCGATTCCCCGGTCTGGTGTTTAGTCCCATCCAGTGAGTGGATAATGGGCACCCCTATAACCTCCAAGCTTGGCATCCCTTTGTGACTCCTGGTGCACATTCTTGTTTTGGACATTTCAGGCTTTAGCATCGAGGGGCAAAAGGATCAGGTTCATTCAAAGGATCAGGTTCTGAGCCATTCCCATGCGAATGATGGTGCACGCCAAAAGCTCTAAAGCCCTAAGCCCTAAGGGGCAGACTGCCCTTCCTGACACTAAGAATACAATTCTGAATGGCTTCTTCCAGATCAAAGGTGGAGTATTTGGATGTATGTTGATTGGCCCAACTTGGTGAGCTCAAAAACCAATTCTAGGAACCTGGACCCAAAATCCTAGACGGAGCGCCCACCCACAAAACATCCCTTTCCTTTTCCAACCTTAAGCATGTTGGGTCCGCAATCGGCAACTAACTCCCCCTCCCCCTCCCCCTCCCCCTAGCGAACACACCAGGGGGAGGGTCTGCGGAAAGTGGAGGCAAACAGTAAGCAAGGGCCAATGGCTAAGCAATAAGGCAGTGGAGACCATCAAGAGGGATAGACACAACCCAGGAGATTCTTTTGACAGTCTGTTCTTCCACCCCTCAAAACAACTCGGAGGCTTCAGGGGTCTGAGTGGACCACATCTATTCCGCTTCCCCCCTGGGAACACATGTGGGATCCAACATATAGCTATAGGAGTACCAAGACCGGTGATGAGAGGTCCGTTGACCGATCCCTTCAGCACCGTTGACCGGGTTTTGGGGCAGCGAAGTGGGATCAACGGACCAAGTCCGGTGACAGGCACCATCACCGGACCACTAGAGTCACTATAGGGTGGCTGTCTTAAGTCATTATTCCTGGGGTATGTGGATATAGGGGGGGTCTAAGGTAGGAGCCATGTCACTCCATCAGCACACCCTTTTTCGGGCGTTTCTCGGGAGGAGGGCGGACACGCCTTCGCCGGAGCACGACGCCAGGATTGCCAACAGATGGCCTGCCGTGAACGGGGCGAATGGGATGACGATTGCTGCGGTTTGAAAACGGAGACCTCCTGTGCCGATGGACTGACGAAGATCGAGACCAACGACATTTGCTGGCAAGGCTTTGGCTTCACAGCACACTACACATGCTGCGCGCATGCTGAGAACAGCTCTGAGAACAGCTTCGCAGCTGGAGCTGAGAACGGCTTCCGCGGTGGATCTTGGATGCTCTTGTTGAGTGTCTTTGGCCTGCTGCATTAAGGTAGCAGGTCAATGTAGTTTGAGTAGGAGTTCGGTCTGCCCTTGCCCGCGTGCCTTCCCGAAGCAGGGAGTTGGGGAGATGAACCTCCCTTGGCTCGGGGAAAGCCACTCGAAGAGTGGGTGGGTGGGGGGCAGCACCCAAGTAGCAGGAATGCACCTGGAACTGGTTCCATCTTCAGACATGTTCTGCAACAGCTTTTGTAGTTCTCACAAGTAATTACGCAGAAGTATGTCCAAGTTCTCTTGGCAGATCGTCGTCGTTTTCATCAATACGCAGATGGCCATCATCCGGAACCCGCGAACCTCCAGGGTTGCAATCATCATACTTGATCTCGTTTTTGCTCGGCAGCGGCGACGCTGTTTTCCCTCTGGAGCAGAACTGCTGCGGAACGGCGAAAGAGAGGTTCCATCGTAGCAGCATCGGCTTGTCGCGTAGCACGAGAATCTGGAGACCTCTGACTCTAACCCGAAAGAGTACGAGACATACCTGGATCTTCCAACGACATGCCAAATGTCTGCTTTTTCATCCACAAAAAGTCAACCGAGTATGGCAGACATGCCAGGCATGTCGTTGGAAGATCCAGGTATGTCTCGTACTCGTTCCTCTAACCTGAAAGAGTTTGGGCATTGTTCTCCCCCCCTCGTCCATCTCGAAAAAGCACGGAGCGGTGTGCGTGGGTGTGGGTTGGGTGGCATGGGGTCGGTCATGCGTGTTTCCACTTTGTTGTGAGTTTCATGTACGTCCAGATTCAATGAGACTCTGAAGGAGCGGCACTTCCTTTCTTTCAACCATTCCATTCCCGGATCCACAGACCTGTGCGATCGACCGGCAATGCTCTTCCAAAGGATCAGCGATCCGATGGGTCTGAGGTCAAAGACTCCTAATAGCCTACCTAAGGCAGGACCTAAGGGGCTTCGTTCTTGATCGCCCCTGTAAAACAGATGTGATTCGGGGTGTCCATGTCTACCACCCCGACGTTTTCCGGGGTCCTGGTATATAGGACCTTTTTCGGGGAGCTATGGACCTGGGGACCTGAACGGGAACATCTCCTTTACTTCACGAATCGCGAAGGACAAGTATGGACTTCTATATAGGGCCTTGTTTGAGGGAAAAACTGCATCATCTTCTTTAGGATTCGGCTTTGGCTTCGGCGAAGGATGAGACACATGGATAGACCGACTGCGAACCATGTCCTGAACCTTCCAAAGGGTCCAACTGGGAAGTCTTCTTATTTTCATACACGCTCACATGGTCAAATCCATGTTCCTCTTCCTCCACTGACAACAAGCTCTTTGAACCACCTTTTCCAATCTTTACCTTCCAACGACATGCCAAATTTCTGCCTTTTGGTTGACTTTTATGGATGAAAAAAGCAGACATATTGCACAGTTGGAAGATCCAGGTATATAACGGCTCGGATGTTCAGGGGCCAAATCAGCTCTGGCTCTTGGTCCGAACGATCAAAACAAAGCGTATCATCTTCCATGCCCAGAGGCTGAACAAGACCTGCAGTCTTTCAGGACCGGCGCTCGGCGACCACCGCCGCGCCCCACCACTTCTCCGCATTCTCACCGCCTCGCCGCGCCGGCAGTGACAGCACACTCGGCATTCTTCCTTCATCGTGGTCTCTGGTGACACCGCAATGACATGTGAGACATTGGACACATTTTACAGATGAGACGATCAGAAAACGGTGCATTCATCGAATTCTTCATAAGTATCTCAGTATCTCTTCACTGCTTACCTGGGTCTGTTCTTCTCTCCCGACGCCTTCCGTCGCGATTCACTGCGCAACCACGCAACCGAGTCGCCGCCATGGGTTGTTGTCAAGCCTCCGTTTCACATGCTTCAGAACTCCAGGCGGAACGGTCTGCGGAGGGGGGAGAAACCCCGAGGTCTCGTTCAAGGAGTTGCACTTGATTAGGGTTCAACTGCATTTGATTAGGGGGTTGGTTTCAGGGTTGGCTATAGTCATTTATTGTGGCTGCCCAAAAGCAGCTTGAAGAAAAGTCATGTGGGACCCTCATGTGACATCTTGGAAGGTAGTGCGTGTTAGCTCTCACACGACGGGTGCGATCCCAAGATCTTGCCTGTAGCTGTGATCGTAGGATATCGTAGTATCTTGGACACACCTTTTCTCCCAGTCGGACCCACGGCCAGTCCGTTGGCGACACCAGTCCCAACGGCCACTTCAGACTGGGTCGTGATCAGGTCGTATCAGGTCGTGTCGATCCGATGCTGGCAGAATCACCCCATTCTGCCGAAGTCCCGCCCCGGGCCCCAAAAACATCATGATTTCAGGGACTATACAGTAGAATCTCTTCAATTCCCTTCTTCGTTGCTTTCAGGATGACATGAGTGCTTAGCAGGCTCCAATGCCTCTCTTCGCCCTCGCTGCCGGTCTTCTCGATCTCTTCCACTGCTTTCCATCGCCCTCCACCCGCTCCGGGCCGCAGGTCGCCGCTGGCAACCTGCCCGCACGGCCTCCAGGAGCCCGCATGAACCCACCGGTGGGGACGGACGGCGGACGGTGGACGGGACGGGACGGGACGAGGTCTTTGGAATGGTCAGGCGCTTGGGGCTTCGAAGGCGAAGCTTGATCTGTCATGTGGATCCTGGGTTCGCAGGATAGGTCACTTCGTTGTTTTCTTCTTATGTGAGACTGTATACCTGGATCGTCCAACGACATGCCAAGTTTATGCTTTTTCATCCATAAAAGTCAACCAAAAGGCAAACATTTGGCATGTCGTTTGGAAGATCCAGGTATCCATGTCCCCTGATTACGTGCTTTGTGGGTCCGGTAGGTGGTTTTTTTTCGACCAGATGGTTGACCTAAACATGGTTGACCAGTGCTTTTCAAAGTGTCACAGAAAAGGAAGCACCGGAGGAAGCCGCGTCCGCCCGGCCCTCCGGGAGGCACTGAAGGACCAGCCGAGTGTCTTCCGGTCTGTTCAGTCCAGTTGGGCATTTGTGGGTGAGTTCTGTGGAGGAACTGGAGGTGAGTTGGGCGTTTGGCGGACCAGGTGGTGCCTCCTGGGTGAGTTGGGCACCTCCTTCCGGTTCCAAACAGGCCGGAGTCTGATTTTATTTTTCTGGGAGATGGCGCCTTATGGATCCACATACCTTCTCAGAAGGTATGACTGGGCCCTCCAAGCCTACAAAAATCCAGTACCCCAACCCCACTAAATAGTACAAACCATTCTCCGAAACATACGTACGTCCAGGACTTCATAACAGGGATGGGTTTCTATCCGGAATTCCCCAAAAGTCCTTGGTCCAGAACTTCAGAACAGCTAGATAAATAATGATGTGACTGACTTGAAAGACTACATGTTAGGTCAGACGCAGGATTCTATAAAAGGATGTGTTTTTTTCCACTTGGAGGTCTCTGAGGGTCAAGCTCAGGATTATATTGTGTTTTGTGTTTCGCAGTGATTCCTTGGACTCCGCGGTCGTTCCTTGTGTTTCGCGGTCGTGCTCGATGTATTGTGTTGGGCTGCAGCATGCCACAGACACGAGAGTGTTTCATTTTAACAAAATCTGTTTATAAATGACTAATACGCCACACAAACTCTGCAGGTCCTCAATGGAAGTACACCACACGATCGAAAGATCCCACAAAGGAAAAAAGGTAGAGCTCTTTTTGTGCAGAAAAACATGAGCCAGGGTCAATGACAGCATTTCAGTATGAACCAGAATTTTGTTTCATACACATGTCACGACCTCAGTCCCAGGACTTTAGAAAACCCTTGGTCCTAGGAATTTAAAAGGCAAAAAAGAACTATCTTTTTTTTACATCGCACTTTGGGCCACTAAAAAATAAGGAAATTACCTCAGTCCCGTAGGATTTTATACAATAAAGTCCTGAGTTGGACTTTTGGGCGTTATTCAAGGAACATAATAGTTTCCAATGACCTTCTCAGGTTCGGTATGTGGATCCATAGGGGTGCTGTTCTGCCAATCTCAAATAGCCCGTTCATCGGGTTGGCCAACACAAGACCGCGCCAGGAGCCGTGGGGCCCTTCCTTCGGATGCTCTCCGTGAACGATGCTCCTCGGAGCTGAAACCGTCCCGCACGGAAGGCCATGCGCCGCCCTTCCCTTCCCCGGAGATCCCAATGATGCCCCAGACTCGGAGAAGTTGCTAGGCTAGGCTTCCAACCAATCCACCCTTTTGAAAATAGGCTTGGGCCGAATCAACTAATGACTTGACACGACAAAAACCAGGTCAACCTCTTCTTTCATGGTCGAACGGGAGTCTAGTGGTGCTCCGAAATTGATCAGTTCCCATTGGCTTCTTTCCGGACCAAAGTTGAGTTGTGTTTTCCCCCCTCTCTAGCACCGGCCCAGCCGCCCAGCTAGGCACCTGCATCTCCCTGGGTGGAGAGGATTCTCCAAGCGTCGACGTGTCGTCCGAGAATCGGTTTCTCAGGAACATCAGTGACCTATGACATCCTATGGTCGACATGACATGACTCTTTTTTTGACAGGTACCGGAAGAAGTGCCCATGGTTGATACGAACTGAGACGATTCATAGCTGATCCAACCCGGGCAAAAAACATCTTAACAATGGGTGGATCATGGTATAGCTGGATCAGATCTAATTCGAGTGCTGGGACCGTCTCCGATTGCGCGTCCTCGAAACCCAGCGGATTCGACGGTCAGGTCTACATGTTGGACAACTACCCTCGCTTCGCGGCCGCTGTGATGGAGGCGCCGGACGACTTGGACCGAGCCTCGCGGCCGCTTCACACAGCGGTCGATGGAGCAGTGGTCGGTTCGAAGGGGAGAATGAAGCGGTTCGTTCCCTCACCGGGACTCGTGTTTTTGAGGGGGGACATGGATACCTGGATCTTCCAACGACATGCCTGGCATATGTTTGCCATATTTGGTTGACTTTATGGATGAAATAGCAGACATGCCAGGCATGTCGTTGGAAGATCCAGGTATTATTTGATCAGACAGGCGCCCCCCACATTTTGCGGTGTGATACATGGCGGTGTGATACACGGTGGTGTGGTGGCCGAAGTTTCGACACCAGCGAAGCCGATTAGACCACTGGCTGCAGAAGGTCCATGAAGCCACTTTCAGCATCCATGGCTTTTCCGCAAAGCCTCACCGACACGAGTCACTCAGGACACATGTTGGCCCCTTTAAGCCAAGACCCTCAGACCCAGCGAATCACAGCAGAAGACTCGAAGACGAATTCACGCGCCGTCGTAGAACAACGAGAGCAGGTGGCTGGACGAATGGACGGTACCCTTCGTACCCTTCCTGCCAGGCCAAGAAGCAGAGCAAAGCTTTGCAATGCGTCGTGACCTCTCACATGAATGGCGACTTCTTGTCTCCCTGCCTCTTCACAGCTCTGGATGCTGGGCCATGAGATTAGTTTAGTTGAGGGTGTTGGTAAAAACACCGGTCTTCTTTTTCATGTCTTTTGCTTCTTGATTGGGTGGGTCCAGACCTGAAAACGCCAATTCAAAGAGGGGAGGGCTTTCTTCAGATCGACCCAACTCGGCGGTTGGAAGCGATCTGCACTCCCGCCGTCAGCCGACGGACAGCCCGCTGTCCACTGCTTCCGACCACATCGAGTCGGTGGACCCGTGGACCTGTGACGACCGGGAGAAAAGCGCTTCTGTCTTGGACATGCTGAACTAGAAACTATAGCACTATAGGATGGTAGGTGGGGGGTGAATGCTATCCAGATCGGCTGGTGACGTCTCGATCTCTGTTTTTTTTCTCAGGATGGTGGCACCACGATGGTGGACGGCTTGAATTACGCGCAGTTGGACTATGTCTGCTTGGGGAATCACGAGCAGCTCGGATCTTTTTGTGAGCTGCGTAAGCACCGGGGGGTTGTGGGCTTGGAAAGGGAGAGTGCTTGGAGAATGAAAAGGTGGAAAAGCTTGATTGCTTCATAATACGTATGCATATATCATATCACAACGATGAGAGGATATAGATACATATAGTATTATATACCAGGACACCCTAAGGGGTGTCTATTGATAGCCCCTTAGAGGTCAAGGGGTGTCTATTAACCACCCCTTGTGGGTCCAGGTAGTGTCTCAATTTGTTAGATCTTTTTCAAAAGCTCCCGAGACCACCACAGAACCTGTGCACCGACACTCAGGTTCGACCTGGGCAAGAAGCAACTGGCGACACAGTTGAAGGCCTACAAAGGCGCCGATCGAAACGAAACCGCCGGTGGTTTGTCGCGTTTGTGGCGGGAAAAACACACCATACGGCTAGGATTGGGGCTACTGTTTGGGCCTTCTTAGCCATCGTTTCTTTTTCTTTTCTTGGGATGGGGATGGGGACTTGCTGGAGATCAAAGCTTAGAATCAAGTCTCTTTTTTGTTTTTGTTTTCTTGGTGTTTTGAGACTGATGTGCTTCTACCAGATCGCTGAACCTGCGCTTCACAAGGCAAGTTGCTGAACACCAATTGCACGGACAAGGAATTGGAAGACTGGCCCACCTACGATGTGGCGCCTGAGCTGGACCACCGCAGACGGCGCGCGGCGTCGTTTCGCGGACTCGTGGGGTGGGGACTGATGGGATTCATCGGGGTGATCATCGGATTCCCGCCGGCAGGGGCAGCCTTGGTGGCTCACCATATGGTTCACATATAGGAGGACAAGAAGTTGTGCTGATGTTAGTGAGCATGAGATGAAAGATCCGATCATGCGATTTCGTGGGATTGCCCTGCAAGTTGCCCTGCAAATGGTCACAGATAGCTTGTGTTCCCCGGCCTATAGCCCCCAACGATGTGAATTATGCCTGGGCGTGTTTTGGGGCGGTGGTCCAACTTTAAGAGATGCAAGCTGAGAAAGGCTGCAAAAGGTCAGTACCAGTCACACGAGAAAAGCAAGGTTTCTTTATTTGTGTTTCGCCAGATATCGCCATCCAGACAGGTTTGTTTTGGGGGTGCGATTCTGCGATTCAGCGCGTGGCCGCGCATGTTTCTTGAGGTGGACGTGGGGAACAAGAAGATCCTGATGGTTGGCCTTTGCCTCGGTGATCCCTCCATCTATCCTGCCGACAGCACTCCTGTGCTTGGGCCAAAAGGATGGCTGGAGGAGGGAGCAGGCTGAGAACATGGACCTTGTCGTCCAAAAACGCTGAGAACCAGGACCTCCCTTTTTCAAGCACATGAAATAGATGCATCCAAGTTGGAACGTACCTGCCCAAAGACTTCACGCTTTTGGTGGTCATTCTTGGCACTTGTTCGGTGCCTGAAACCAGACGCTTCGTGCTCCCTCACAGATGCCCCCCACGAAAGCGCAAAAACGCGCGGACGCTCGGAGAAGAAGAGCGAGGTCCGGGTCCGACAACGGGCCTTTGACCTGCAGGTCAATGGTTGATTGATCAGAGGGGATCATATGATCCTGCTCCTGCTGAACTTGCGACCTGGTCTTGCGGACCTACCATCGACCCCACCCTTCTTGGGCCTTGGGCGGACTGGTTCCCCTCTCACCAGCCGAAACCGGGACCTGAGGACATGAAAGACTTCGTGCACTCCTGCATGGCCGCTTGGGAGGCGGTGTGGTGTTCCATGTGTGGGGTGGGAATGAGAAGAGCTTGGTTGGTTGGTTGGTTGGGTTGGTCCGGTTTCAAGATATGGCCTAGGTGGGTGGCAGGGGCTTCGTGGGATTCTAGAGAGCGCCTCCGACATGGCGCCCGCTCTTGGAGCTCCCAGAGCTCGGATCGACCATGCCAGCATATGCTGCCTCCCCAAAAGCCTTCCCTCGCAACCGCTGCCGAACCTGGCCGCGATAGTCGGCGTGCAGCACGTTGGGTCTGCGGCGCTCGGACTCGGTGTTGGTGCGGCTGGGCCGGCGGGACTGCGCGGTGTCGGCCAGGACTGCGCGCGGAAGAAGGTGAACATCGACCTCATTGTGCCCATGACCCATCAGCTCATTGAGGATGATCGTTTGCTGGCGGCTCCTTGGAATGTGAAGAAACGAACGGTGCAAGCCGGACAGGTTCCGGGTGCGATCTGAGTGGTTTCTTTGGGCGTGTTCCAAGCTGGGGAGCAGTGTGAGTATCTACTCCGTGCGGCCGTGGGCAGTGTGGGTGGATGGTACTGGTAGCAGGACACCCAAAAGCGCTCGAAGGCGAGAACACCAAACTTTCTAGCAGAAAAACACAAGCTATAACTAACTAAGGGCATCGCTACTAGGTAACTAAGGGCATCGCTACTAGTAACCAAAACCCTGGAAGTCAATCACCATTTTAAATGGTTGATCTGGTTTTGTAGTGTAAAACCATAGTAAAACAATGGTTGTTTGGTAAGGGCTATCCAAACAATGGTGGTTCGACTTCTAGGGAAGGAAGCTACTAGTCCACCACTTACGTACTCAGCACTAGGTCCCACCCTCGGCAGGTCTGAACGTCCGGCATAGTCAACCCCAAATTGATGCTCCAATATGGCACTTGAGATCCTTTACGTAGCAAGTAGGAGGTTGGGACTGTGGAAATCATCCATTATGGTCTTTGGTTCTGGTGAAGACAAGTAGGCATCATGCAGTGCCGCAGATGCCGACTTGCTAAGCGGACCACGAAGGCACCCAGGTTAACCCGATGTTCAGGAGCAGTTCGAGATGCACGAGACCATGAGCGGCAAAGCACCCGTGATCTTGGGAGGCCATGAACACGAGGTCTTCGAAGAGGTGGGGCAATCTTTTTTTGACCCTGGGGCAGCGCCGTTTCCGGCATTCGTTTTTTTGGGGGTTTGATACGCGCATGTCCTATGCCATGAGTGACATGGCTGAGATGTGAGGGATGTAAGAGGGGATGTAGATCGGGCAGTTTCGGCTCCAGATCTGTGTACTTGACTGAGCATGGTCTTGCAGTCTCGCAGTCGTTTCTCCACATTCCAAGTGAAAAATATGGGTGTCTTGGAGTCTTGGTTTCCCCATTTTCCCCTACAAACAAGGCGGTTTTCCGATTCCATGATGATTTCGATCTATTCCTTGCTTAAGCAACCTGCAGGATTCAGCTTTCTTCAGGATCAACAGCTAATTGCAGTCTATGGGACGCTAGGTGGGTTTACAGAGCCCAGTAGATCACCCACCCCCCCGGATTGCGCATACCGAGCGCCTAACTTGCATCACGGGTGCAGGCGTTTGGGTCAGGGTTCAGGCTTCTTATGCCTCACCCAAATTGGAGGGAAATATGGTAAATTCCTCACCTATTAGCCCCTCACCTTCTTGCAAAATTGGTTTTAGGGTCGGCCGTTTTGGCATGTTTTTGGATCGACTCCAAAAACAACACACGGACCAGACGACCAGACGTCCAGCCAGGTGGTGGCGGACTCGCTGATCGTAAAGACCGGGCAAGATGCCGCGAAGATCGCCGTGGTGGATGTGTGGTGGACCTCCAATGGAGCAGCCTGATCGCGAAAGCGAAAGTGGTCGAAGATCGCGGTCTTTGTTTGCGGGTCAGTTGGTTGGTTAGTTGGAGTGAAAGAACTTGGGATGGGAAGAGAAGGAGGATTGAGGCGAAAAGTGGCGCTGCGAAACACGTGGCATTAGGAAGAAACGTGCTCGGACGGACACAAGACACACCTCATACCAGGGATCCCCCAGTCAGGGGTGGTGAATGGATACCCCTTTTATCACGATCTAAGGAGCTATAATTAGAGACACCCCTTAGGCTAAGGGGGGTCCTGGCAGTAGGCCCACCGGCCCCTTCCACCTTCTTCTCCGTTCGACTTCCGTTCGACCTCGGTGCGCCGAGGTGAAGTCTCGTCACACCATGGTGGATGCAGCGAAGTCGCTTGGGAGGGGAGTGAAAGGGAGGGAGAAAAAAAGGGGAGCTTTTGGTGAAAGAGAAGGAGCACCCAACTCATGAGTTGAGGTAGAAGCTTTTTTTCGAAACCAGCTTCCAGATGAATATGATGCACGATGATAGTATGGACGTAATCTTGATGATTTATAGTTCGCCGTCCGGATGATGGAATTCCTGAAACTTTCTGGGTTTAGGTGACACAGATGGCTTACCCTGGCAGCAGAATCCATCCTCTGGCCCCACTGCAGGTTCACTGGGGAAAGCTCGGCAGAGAAGTGGGCGCAAAAGAAGAAGGCTTTCATGCAGAAAGCCATGGAGGCACTGCCACAGACTGGGCAGGTGAACTCACTACAGCGAGCGACTGGGACTCTACTGACCTCACTCTGGCTACTGACTCATGGGTTCTAGAGTCAGTACGCGGTTGGCAGCAGGAAATGCCGGGAACGTGACAGGCATGGCTTTTCGGCGCCAAAAAGGCTTCGGCTTCGCGCGGATTCCGCGCGAGAGCACGCGCGCGAAGCAGCTGTGCTCCCTGACACGGTGGTCAGGCGCCGATCATGGAGCTGCCCAAGGAGATGTCTCCCGGCAGCGCAACGAAGGATCGGAGCTAAGTAGGGTTGACCCTGGGATGTGTCCCCAGGCTTCCAAGCATCAATATTGAATGAGGGATCATTAACTTACATAATCTTACTACAAAAAAGACCAGGTCAACCTTTTCTTTCATTTGCTTTTCGAAGCCTACAGGGATGGGGAAGCTTTTCAGATGCGATGGACAAAACGGGGGGGTCTCAGCAACAGAGGCCCATTGTAGACATGGGTGTTGGGAGCATGCCCCTTTGTCGTTTCTCTTAGGGCCTAAGGGTAATCGATGTTCTATGAGCTTCTTCATTGTTGTTGTGTCTTCATTGCGAATTTCTCCAGGCTTCTGGCAAGACCAACAGCTGATGAAGTGCCAAAAAGTGGTGCATGTCTCACTTTTCTGTGCATGTTTTATATTTTTTTGTGTTTTGGTGTTCTCTCCATGGTTTTTGGTGTGTTTTTCCTTGTTAAGATCTGAATCGCCAGGCCGATCCGTGCATGGTGTTTTTCGTGGTTCGATCTGTGGCGTCAGGCGCCAGTGTAGAGAGTTCGTTGGCTGCCACGGGAGTTCGTTGGCTTTCATGATGGACCAAGAAAAACGACATAAGAAAAACCAATCCAAACTTGGGCGGGACATTCGTTTTCGTTGCACAGACTCAGGTGGAGATCGAATTCTTCATGGCCTGTTGCCCATGCCAAGTCTCTTCACTCGTCTCCCTGTCTCCATCCACTTCCTCCATCCACTCCTCCACCACGTCATCTCCCACCAAGCCACCCAGGTCCCGCTCCCGCACGCGTCCGAACTCACCTGCCCAGGTCGAGTCAACAGGTGCGTTTCGAAGCGTCGGACCTGGCCTCGTTCCTGCTGGAGAAGGTCAAGAGGGGCACCTCGGTCGAAGGAGACCGTCGTCGACCTACGGGGGTGATCCGACGGGACCGACAGGAGCGACAGGTTCACACGGGGAAGGCCAGGTGGAAGGCCGGTGACTCGGGGTTGGTCGGGGAAGGCAGGGGACCAGTTCCGAAGTCCGGCGCCACCTGTCCGACGCAGACGTCACGTGAAGTCCCTCTCGCTGTGGGGCATCGCGGCGGTCTCGCTGCATCTGCATCTGCAGCCGATTTTAAGTGGGCTCTGTCTGTTGTCGCCACACCATCGTCAGTCGCTGTTTCTCATGGCGCAGATGCCGGAGGTGGAGAATGGGCAAAGCGAGTGGCTGGGCAAGACGACACCTTCGGTCGTTTGGTGTTTTGATGTGTTTTGTGAGGTTCTGCTTTGTTGTGAAGACGATCCTATAGCCATCCAAACTAAAGTCACCATTCATCAAAACTATATAGACGTCACTATACTTCTAAGCGTCTACATTCCGCTGAGTTTGGTCCACCCGCTGCGTCCAGCCGAGGTTCGGACAGATGGACGCGGGTCGTGGGGTGCGAGGGGTCTTGTACATCATTTGCTTCACGCTTCTCTTCCTGTGGGCCACTCTAGGCCGGAGGGAAGTTACGATGGCAGTAGTACTGGCAAAATTGTGGGATCAGAGTGGGGGGGGTCAGAGTATGGGGAGTGTGAGAAGAAAGGGTGGGATGGGAATCGGTGGGTTTCTTGCAGTGTTCAACGAAAAGACATTGTTCCTCTTCTTTCTGCTTCTTGAGCCCTGCTACTACACCAACAAAACTTCTCTCTTGCACCATCTTTCATCAGCAAAAGGTTAAGTCTGCGTCCATATACTAATAGCTTCCCATTGCCACTAGCTTACTAGCTTCTTACTCTCTTAGCTAGCTGCTTGTTAGCTACCACCATCTCAACGCCACTAGTGCTGCGAGCGGAGCCGCGCCGGGGAAAGGCTATTTCTTGGTCTACATCCAATACCTCCCCCCAGACCCCACGGACGACTACTGTGGTATCACCGCCTTCCTGTGCTTGTGGTTGAGCGTCTTCGCCTTCGTGGATAACGTGGGAGTGCCCTTGAAGGGCAAAAGAGCGGCCGCCGGGGGGGAGGGGAGACGACCAAGACTGGAATCATCTACAGAGGTGGA